ACACACACACACACACACACACACACAGAGAGAGAGAGAGAGAGAGAGAGAGACATACCAAGCCACACAAAGCACACACAAGGAAAAGTGAAACACAACTTTGGGTTTGCTTCCTTCTCATGACTGTGTCAGTATGTATGCAAACGTGCACACATAGCTGAATGTCCATCATTCCTTGGCACGAAGCTGAGCGTCCAGCATGCATGTCTTTAATCAGTTGACTGATCCGTAGCTTTAACGCGGCTGTTCCAATTACTGTAAAAGTCATCCTGCTCCTTATAACCACAAATATTGACACTTTATTGCACAACACMTTTATGACATTTTGAAGGTCACACTGTATATCAGGCATCGTCGTTCACAGCAGGGTTTGTGATGTAGGGAGAGAGTATCAGGTCGCCTGTTGACACCCAGCTGTAACCATCCTCTAAGTATTGATTTTCACTCCCTTTATTCCCTTTCATTTATGCAAAGAATTACTGCAGGGGAAACACATGTTTAAAGTGATTGTCACAGGTGAGTTGTTGGCTTTTTTGAAACTGTGAAAGCTACTTTTTCTTCTAACATTTAACAAATTGCAAATATGAGTACCTCACGCTGTTTTTCTTTTCCAACATTTAAGTTGGTGGACTTCTTAAAATTGTGGTTTAAAAGGTGGCAAAAGGAGGAAATTGGGATAATGAAAGCATGAGCGGTTATTAAATAAATTAGTTTTTAAGTATATAAATGTTAAGTACTGTATGAAATCAATCAAAAGTTCAAAGGTTAGAAGAAAAAAGAAAAGCAAAGAGATTTAATTATTTTCTTATGCTGCAAATATCAGAAATGTAACATTTTTTGTATTATAAGTAATTGCCCAGCTACATATTGCAAATGACAAATCTTCTTGTTATATTGACTTATTTTCACATCACCATAAATCCATATGTTCAACATTCATTCTCAGAAAAGATCAGATTTAATGAAAAAAGAAGAATCTCTTTTTTATTAACAACTGAACCCAGCTCTTTCCTTAAACTGAAAGCAGTCTGTTGTATGAGAAACCTTCTCTTCACTCTACCCTAGAAAAAATAAATGAATTAAAAAAAACATGACAAACGCAAAACTGTGAATGTGCTAGTACAAGAGTATCACAGAGAGGGGGGGGGGGGTGAAAAATACATGTATAATTTAGCTGTATCTGATCTGAGACCAGCTCCTCTCCCCTCTGCCTTTACTGGTGTCACGGCGGCGTAATGGAACATGCCAGAACAAAGGCTCTGAGATCAGATTGGAGCAGAGTTGAGCAGGCCATCTGGGAGGCAGGCTGAGTATCAGTCACTCTGCCTGCTGTCTGCTGCACTCACACTCATGTACGCACACTTCCCCTCTGACTAACTGTGTCGCTACAGTGCAAATGCGTGTCTGAGTGTGTGCGGGTTCGACACCTCGCTCCCTTCTGACCGCACGTCACCGGGATCTCGAAGGCATCGCCGTCGTGGGGGTACGCCGCCGAGGCAGCCTCGACGACTTCCTGGCAAATATATAGATGAATGTGGATCTTCACGTGTGTCGGGGTTCGTGTGGCACGTTGCTCACTACTTTCCAGCGACCACACCCAGTTCCCATTAACGGGAAAATAAATAAATAAAAATCAACAATAAAAACAACCAGCTGAGCCAAMGACTGTGTGCATACGCTGGTGCCAGGAGTGCAGGTCGGTTGGTGGTGGTGGGTATGGTGGGGAGATGCCAGCTC